CAGGCGTTCAGACCGTGGACCCCGGACAACCTCTCTGGGCTTGGCCATAGCCTACTCCTTTGGGGGTGCCTCATCACACATGGTGCCCCAGGGAGCCCTTGGTCCCAGCCTTGACAGTGTTGGCCCAGAGCATATGGTCCCATCATCAGCAAGACTTGTGAGCCGCTAGTTCAAATTCTATGCATAGTGAAGATGAATTAACACTTGCTAGTCTCTTAAAATAAGACTTGGACATAGCAGATGCCCTTTAAAGATTCACTTTTTTATTAGCAGTATGTAAAGAGTTTAGAACAGGGCTTGGCACAGAGCAAGGACTGTATAAGTGTTTGCTGCTTTTATTATGATCTTTCATATTTTTAATCAATCAACAAACCTTTCCTGCATATCTTCTTTGTGCCAGGCAAGGCATGGGGCACCAGGGAGAACACAACAGTCCCTACCCTCAAGAAGCTTACAGTTGAGAGAGAGGCAGACAAAAACACAGCAGGAGGTGAAGAGAGTGTGGGGGAGAAGAGGAAACCCCTCATCCAGCCTGGGGAGCGGGGAAGGGAAAGGAAATAGTAACAGCAGAGATATACTCTAAGGAGCAAATGGCATGGGTGACAAGCCTCATCTGGCACATGGCAGGCTCATAACTCTGGAGGTGCATTTTTTGTGAGTTAACCCAGTGAATAAGGAAAGAAAAACAGAGACAGAGACAGGGTGTTCCAGGAACAGCATGTGACATGCCCGGGTGGCGATGGGCAGGCGGAGTGGCACAGTGTAGCATGGTAGGGCTACAGGCGGGCAATGACAGTGCCGGGCTGGTTCCCAGCTCTGGTATCTCATATAGAAAAGATTCCAGGAGCAAGCAAATGAATCTGCAAGCCATCCTGCCACTGAGTCGGGTTCCTCTGGGAGTCTGCAAGTACACTAGCCCAGGAAAGGCTCTGAGAAGCGGGCAGGAAGGAATGTGGCTGCACCTTCTCACCCCCCAGGCATGGCTGGGCTCCCATTCCTTTCCCCTCATGCATCCTTCAGCCTCGCACCGAGCTGGCGGCATTCCGAGGAACACGGTTTGTGAAACAGCCATCGCGATAGGAAGATCTTTCTGCAGGGTGCCGCAGTGGTCGGAAAGGTCATCGCCCCACCACAGCGAGAAGGACAGATTGGAGGAGGAGACCCTGGGGGCAGAGAACTGGCCAGGAAGCTACTGCAGGAGGCTAGGATAGAAGAATGGGAATCCCAACCAGGACTGTGTGGGCAAAGACAAGGAAGCACACAGGAGCTACTAAAGAGGTAGAATCTTCTAGAATTGACGGCTGAATGTCACTGTTATAATAATGGGAACTCCCTGAGCCTGGGAGTCACCACCATGAGTTTTAGACTTGACCACAGAGTCAGTGCGTGGGTGACCAAGGGAAGTCACTCTTCCTCCTCAGGCCTGGTGACCAGTTCTAACAAGGATGTGGTAGTTTCCAAGGGACCCTTCACCTCTGCCATGATGATTCCAAGAGGCTGTGAGCTGTTTCCACTTCTGAGGCAGACACTGATAAGTCGGACCAGCTCTGTGGCATCGGGGGTTAAGAGCCAATCAACATGCATTTATTAAGTGCCTACTGTGTACTTGGCTGAGTACCAGGCAGGCCCTGGGAGGAAGGAAGGAGGGCAGAAGGGTGCATCCAAGCACCAGTCCCCAGGTAACTCAGTCGCTCCTGGCAGTGCCTCGTACAGGGGAGAGGACTTTGGAGTCAAAACAGAGACGCATCCTAGCTCTGCTGTGCTAGCTGGTGACCCTGGCAACTTTATTATCCCTTGTATTAGTTTTTATGAAACAACCACCACAAACTGGAGGACTTGAAACAATAGAAATTCATTTTCTCACAGTTCTGGAGGCTGGAAGTCCAATATTAAGATGCCTGCAGGACCGCTCTCCCTCAGAAGGCTTTTCGGGAGACCCTTCATTGCCTCTTGCAGCTTCTGGCAGCTCCGGGTGTCCCTCGGCTTGTGGCTGCAGCACTCCAGTCTCTGCCTCTGTCTTTACACAGGCTTCTTCCCTGTGTTTCAAATCCCCCTCTCCTTTCTCTTATAAAGACATCAGTCATTGGATTTAGGGCCCAACCTAAATTCAGGATGATTTTATCTTGAGATCCTTAATCACAGCCACAAAGATCCATTTCCAGATACAGCCCCATTCACGGGCACCGGGTTTGGTATTTGGACATATCTGGTGTTGGGGCCACGTGCAGCCCTCTACAGCCCTTTAAGCCTCTGCTGCCTCATCAGAAAAGTGGAGATCGTTATGCTGTTTATCTCATTAGGAGGCTGGGAGGACTGAAGAGGTTATATGCATAAAATCCTTAACACAGCACTGGCAAACTGTGGTTGTTGTTATTCATTCATCTGTGTGTGAAAGGTTGTTATCAGGTATATGTGGTTCGTACCTGTCCTTCCAGCTCTAAACCTGGACGATTCTCTCGAGTCTAAGCACTGTGATTCTGGGTCACCAAAGCAGTCATGTTGGTGGCATAGGGATTTCGACATAAATGTTGTTTCTGTTCTAGCATCAGCCCCAAGTGTGCAGGGGAGGAGGGAATGTCACCTTCTCTGGGACTGCAGACATTTGTCACTTGTTTGGTCATGACAGCCGGACAGAATTGCTCCACTGCTGCTTCAGTCCTGAATTCCAAATGGGCTCAGGGCCCCAGGCATGACAGAGATTTATGGGGAACGCCCCTGCACACACAGCCATTTCTGAACTCACGGTGCGTCCTGCACTATCGTGGCTGTGGGCAAGGCCAGCAGCTGCCAGGTGTTGGAGGTTCACAGACAAGCACGACGTGACTCGTCTCCTGGAACCCTCAGGACAGAGAGAAGAAGGACCCAGATCGAGCTGCAGGAAAGGAAGTCCCTGCAGGTTCAAGCTCAACTTCAGGCTTAGTGTGGGTTCCAGGTGGGAACCAGAATATACCACTCGGTGCCCGACACGCACTAAGAAATCAATAAATATTTGCTCACCAGATGTTGGACTCAGACTGACCTAAGATGGATAGAAAGGGGAAAGCAAAACATTGCTGAAAATACAAAACCCGAGGGCGCAGAGACTAGTTCATGAGGCTGAGGAGGAGGGAGTGAGGTCAGCCCCAGGTCTCTGGTCTGGGTGACCAGGTGGGTGGTGGGGGCTAAGCATGACCGAGGAAGAAGAGGCTTGAACGACAATTCAACTCCTATTAACAGTGCCTACTGTTTACACAGAACTCAACACGGGCCAGGGATCCTGCTAAACTCTTGCCATGTATTACCATATTTAACCCTCACAACAACCCAATGGATAAACTGTTATTGTTATCCATGTTTTATAAAACGGACAAAAAGAGAAGTTGAGTCACTCATAGAACTCTGCTCCAGGTACTCTGATGGTCTTCCTATTTCTCAACACACCACGTTGGTACCTTTGTAAAGATCAAATAACCTGAGGGGACATCTCCTCAAAATCCTAGTTGCGTCATTCCCCAACATGGCACTGAGTATGTTCTGCAAACAGGGATTGAGCCATGTGTAAGGCACGTCTCAGCTCTGCACCTCCTGGCTGTGTGGCTCCTTCACATGCCACTGGCCCTCTCTGAACCTCATCTGTAAAATGCGTCAAACAATACCCTGTCCCCAGATGCTGTTATGAAGAGGAGAGGAGAGCCCAGGGGTGGAAGTGCGCTATAAAATACGGAGCACACGGGTAGCTGGAATTTGGCTGCTGGTCAGATTGAAGTGTCACGCTGCCCATCAACAGCCCAGATCCAGGCGTCCCCACCCTCCCTCTCCTGCCTCAATCCAGCCTTCCCCTTCCCATGCCACCTCAATGCCAGTCTGCAAATTGAGTCAAGGCAGCTTTAATCACCACATGTTGTGGCTCCTGGGACAGATTTTGGCAGTACAATGGAATGCTAGTCTGCAAATTAATTTGCTAGAAATAATCAACATTTCACAAAATTTTCCTGAAAGTCAGTGTGAGCAATCAGACCTTACGATGCCCTCCTGGCCCACTGAGGCTGGGGCAAGGCAACGAGATGAACGCATCACTCAGCCTCTTGGGAGTGGGCAGGGTTGGGAACCCCTGGCACAAGTGCAGTCTCCTGAGGAATAAGGGTCCACTGCACTTGGGCCTCCGTCCTTTACCTTTCTTTCTACCAAGGTGAAATTTCCATAACATAAAATTAACCATTTTAAAGTGAACAGTTCTGGCTGGCTGGTTAGCTCGGTTGGTTAGAGCTCGGTGCTGATAACACCAAGGTTTGATCCCTGTGCTGGCCAGCAGCAAAAATAATAAAATAAAGTGAACAATTGAGTGGCACTTAGTACATTCACAATGTTGCACAGCTGCCACCGCTATCTAGTTCCAGAATGTGTCCATCACCCCCAAAGGAAACCCTGCACCCAAGAGCAGCTGCTTGCCCAACCCCCCACCCCCAGCCACTGGCCCCCTCCGTCTGCTTTCAGTCTCTGTGCATTTACCTGTTCTGGGTATTTCCTATTAGATGTTACCTATATGCTAGAATAAAGTCGTTCCTGAGATAGGCACCAAGCACAAAGAGTTCCAAGCTTCCTGGCTGTTGGTGCCAGAAGCAAAGTGACATTTATCAAGGTTCCCAGCCCCTGGAGGCTTGGCTCCCTGCTCTTCACTGTGAATTTGCCCCATCTGGTCTCCATGCTGACCGTGATTGCTGCACCATCAAATGCACCTCCTCCAGGCCTGCCTGGACTCTCACTGGGCAGACCGCCTGTCCACCGCACACTTAGGGCACCCCATTTCTATCCCGCCCTGGAGTGTCACATGGGTGCTGCCTGTGGTGCCTGCAACTTGTTCTCAAGTCGACTCGTGGCTCACTGAAAGCAGGAACCACAAGCATCGTGGAAGGAGTGCCGGTTTCACTGTCCAAAACATTTGGGTTCGTGTCCCCTTTCTAAGGGGTGATAGCCGTCAAGTGGGGTGCACAATGATGTTCTCTTTGTCCTGTTTTTGGCAGCCCCAGAAGTGTTCCAGGTGTACGTGGACGGCGGCCCTGGGTATTCATACCCCGTCGACTGGTGGTCCCTGGGGGTCACAGCCTACGAGCTGCTGCGGGGCTGGGTAAGACATGCGGAGAACATGAGGAGCTGTGGGGTGGGGCACCCCGGGTGGAGAGGGCAGGGTGTCGGCTGGGACAGCGCAGTCCAGGAGGAGCACTGGACAAGGAGTTAGAGCCCCTGGGTTCGGTCCTGACTGTCTGGGTGTCACCTGAGCACTGGAAGGGCCCTCAGCGAGCTTCTGCCCAGCTCTCTCCTTCTACTGATGGGGAAATGGGTGTCCACAGGGGAAGGGTCTCTAAGGTCCACCGCTAACCAGCGGCAAGTCAAAGGCAAAGCATTTTGGCTTCAGGTTTGCAAACCCTGTCCTCTTTGAGTCCACAGCACGTGCTTGATTTCCCAGCTTGATTGGAAGCTGTTTAAGGGTAAAGACCGTGCTTCTTTCCCCCCCCCCCTTTTTTTTTTTTTTTTTTTGGTTTCATCTCTTCCCTGAATACATAGCTAAATGTCCAATAGAAATGGGGCATTCAATGCATGTTTTTGTTTTATTTCATCTAAATTTAATAGCGAAAGATGACTAATGAAGCTATTTGGCAGCTAATGACTCATTTGTATTTGAGCAGAAAAGTATGATGGCTAACAGCAATTTTGAGGCATGTTTTCTTTGCACAAGTTTCATTTGAAAATGATGTCACTTCACCTCCCAGGACCACAGCTTCTCCATTTGAACAACGGGGGTGAAATTATCTTTTCGGTCTGTTTTGCAGAGTTGGAGCTGTGGGGTTCACGAGCCTCTGTACCGTGAGGGGCATGTTTTGCGTTTCACTCATCCTTGTAGCTCCAGTGTCCCACTAAGAGCCAGCTGCAATTTTAATATTGTTTAAGAATAATTTGCATACATGCATATGCATGCCAGTAGAAGGTGCCCTCCTAGAGGGCAGGGCAGTGTCTTATTTATTGTGGGGATTCCCACTGCATGGTGATAAAGGGAGTTGAGTGGATGTTAATTGAATAAGTGAATGAATGAATGAATGAATGATGTAAACCATGAGCACTGTCAGTGCAAATAATAATCATCACCCCGTAGTTCAAGCAACTATTTTCTGCTCTTGATCTCAATTATTTCTGCTGAATTCTTCAAAAACCAAATTACTGTATATGGTATTTTTAGAATGCAAAGAAAATATGAATTTGTTCATTTTCTGAGCCATTGAATGAAAAGAATTAAAGTCCCACGGTTTACTTGTCCTGGTTGGTTGGTTTGCCGTCTGCTGGTTCCATTGACACACACTCAGAGAGCGGAGATGAGGGTCCGTGCTGTTGCATGAACCCGAGCATGCAGGCATCCGCCAGAGGCTGTGAATCTTAGCTAATCCATCACACCTAGCTAATCCATCACACCAATGACCTCAGTGAGCAGTTGCCCTAAGTGTGGCTGCACGCCCACCAGCAGAAAGGATTTTGGTGGTCATTCCCTATGGGCAAGAGCAGCCAGAGATGACAGCTTGGCAGAAAGCCCCGAGGATGGAGTGGTTCCTGCTGCTTCAAAAATAAACTGTTTCATTTTTAATTCTTAGTTTTCTGCTCAGAAATCCACTTGCCACTTTCAGTAGAAGTGAGAGAGGCAGATGGAGGGATGGGGGCCTTGGTGTGGGGACAAAGTAATTGAATGAAAGAAAGCTCATTATGTCCTAGTGGAAATCTCTCTCCCAAATGTTTTTGTCTGTCTTGAACTTTGGCCCGGATGGCGATGGGTTCACTCTGTTTATTCTATTTCTCATACTGGGAACAACTGAGTCAGTCAAAAAGCTGTGCTGACAAATGCTCATATTTTCCCATAGACCATGCAAGTCTAGGACTCATCCCTCCTTGCAATTCCTTAGTCATGCCAGTGACAGCATCCCTGACAGGACCTGGGAGCTCCTTATTTCAGAAAATGAAAGAAATTCATAACTGGAATTTCCCAGTATGTGTTCTAGGATCTTAGAGTTGGAAAGCACTGGAAATGATGGCGGGTGCGGTGGGGGGTTGCCGTTAGCTCAGTTGGTTAGAGTGCTGCCTTATAACACCAAAGTCACAGGTTCAGATCCCCATACCAGCCAGCTGCCCAAAAAAAAAACCTAGAAATGATGGGGGGAAATTGATGGTATTAATATGGTTTGTTGGCCAGAGACCCAGGAATACTCTAGTTCTAGTCCAGAAAACAGCCATCTGTTTCCATGAGGAGCCAAGCACTCTGTTGGGAGAGCAGGGTCACCGAGTCTCACTGGTAGGCTTGTGGTCCCTGGGTCACAGCCTGTGAGCTGCTGCAGGGCTGGGTGAGACGTGCGGAGAACACGAGGGGCTGTGGGGCGGGAGGGCCCTGGGTGGAGGTGGCAGGGCATCAGCTGGGATGGCACAGTGCAGGAGGAGCTCTGGATGAGGTGTCAGAGCCCCTGGGTTCGGTCCTCATCTCCACCTGTGAGCTCAGGTGGAGCTTGTAGGCTGGACAGGAGACATCAGTCGGATCCAGCTTCTCTCTGAGCCCCAGATAGAATCTCAGTTCTTACCCCTGCAGGTCTGCTAAGTGAACTAAGAAGGCCCAAGTTAGTGCCACCTCTCAGAATTCCCTTTCAGAGCACTGTACCCCAGTCACCCTGTCCTTCTGCCTGGATCACTATGGGAAGAGATTTGAGGAGATTTCCCATCCACTGACACCCACCGCAGAGAAGAGACTTAAAGATCCTTCACCCAACCATTGTCCCACTCAACTAGAAGTCTCCCTGACGGGTGATCACTTATCTGTTTGTTGATTACCCTCAAGATACAGGGACCTCCTCACTTCCTGAAAGAATCTGTGTCACTTTTGGACAGCTCTAATGGTTAGGAATGATTTCTTCTTACTCAACCGAAAGCTGCCTCCTTCTAACAGGGAAAGAGAATCACAGAGGTTCAAACCCTGGCTCCACCAGGTACGCCACCTGTGATATTCAGCAAGTCTTTTAGAACAGATTGAATACTCACTCAGAATCCTCTTGTGTTAACAAAAGAAATAAATAAATAGGAAGAAAAATTCTCAAAGCTGCTTTGAGAATTAAAGGATTCCGATGACGTAAACTACCTCCACGGTGAGTGAGGAATGGTCAGCACTGGGTGAATGTTAGTTTCCTTGCCCTTCCCCCTGGGTCCCTGACCCAGGCAGGGCCTGCTGGCAGGCCGTGTCCCTTTCAAATTAGCACCCTTCAAACGCTGGAGACAGACCCTGAAAACAAAGGCTGAATCACACCCGGTTACTCACCATTAGCGGGTCAGGCCCTTGGGCTTTGTGAGCAGAGACGGGTTCCCCTCCACACTCTGCACTTCTCGGTGTTGTGATTCGGGCTCAGTTGCTTAATTCATCTGAGCCCTGGCTTCCTCCTTCATAAAAGAAGAATTATGGGCCGGCCCGGTGGCGCACTGCTACAGTGCGCCGCTTGGGGGCGCGATAGCGCTCCCGCCGAGGGTTCGGATCCCACATACAGACCGGTTCCCGCTCACTGGCTGAGCGAGGCGCGGGAGCAACACCGAGGGTTGCAATCCCGTTACCGGTCCCGGTCCGGTACGGGCACGACACTGAGGGTTGCGATCCGTTGCCGGACACGAAAAAAGACAAAAAGGAAAAAAAAAAAAAAAGAAGAATTATGAGGCAGACCTGCGGGGTCACTGTGGAATCAAATGAGAAAATGTGGCCAGAGCATTTTCTCTGGAACACAGAGGGCTGCTGATCATTGAGTAACTATGCACATGGTGATGATTCCACAAGACAGGTCGACGTAGATAAAGCACTGACGACTTAGGGTTAGAGGAGCAGGGGAGAGTTTCTGAGGGACGAGACATTCAATCTGAGTTGCATATGAGTTGTTGGAGGGAATAGCGTGAGCACAGATGGGGAAGGGAAGCTGAGGCTGATTCAGCAAGTGTTTTGGCCCAACCACCTGTCGGAAGGACAGTCAGGGGACAGTCTAGAAAGGACTTGAGGTTAGCTGGCAGCAGATGGCTTTGCCCTGGAGGCAGTGTGGTGCAGATGTGGTGCCAGCCATGGTGTTTAAGTGGGTATATGATATATGGAGTCACATATTTCTGGGTTCACATCCTAACTTTGCCTCACAACCTCCGAGTGATCTCCAGTAAGCCGGTTTCTTGTCTACTAAATGGAGAGAACAGCAGTGCGGGCACGTAGCACAGAGCTTCTCGACCTCTGGACATTTGGAGAAGGAAAATTCTTTGTTGTGGGACCGTCCTATGCGTCGTAGGATGTCAGCAGCATCCCTGGTCCCCACCCACTAGGTTCTGGCAGAAATCCCCACCAGTTATGACAACCAAAAATGTCTCAAACATTGCCAAATATCCCCTGGGGGACAAACCATCCCTGGCTGAGTACCCGCTGCAGAGTAATGACAAGGACTGAATGAGATCCTGAATGTGAGGCCATTGGCATATGGCACTGCACAGAGGGGACCTCAGTACAGACAAGGGTTGGGGCCCTGAACGCCCACTCTCTGGCACCAGGAGGACTTGACCCTCTCTGCTTGCCCACCCAGCACTGCTATGACCGGGTGTGTCCCTTGCCACAATCAGCAATGCTCCTTGGGGATGCATAGACAGAGAAGGCTGGGGGTGTGGAGAGGCCAATGAGGAACGGGAGGTTCTGGAGCTCCCCCTAGAGGCTGGAGGGCAGAACTAAGACCCTCTGGGTGTACCCTGGGTGGGTGGGCTGTACTGGAGTGTTAACCTGACAAAGGAAGGGAGACAGTCGTCCTCGGTCTGGTCCTTGAGTGGGAGCCCTGACTTCACTGTGCCAGGATTCAGAAGCCTGGGAGGTTATGGACTCTGTGACCTCCATTCAAGGGAGGAGAAGGAACTTCTTGAATTTTTCAGCGTTTTTCAAGCTGTGTTTCCTGGACTCTAAGACCCTGCAGAGGTGATTCAACAGTTCAGGGGTAAGGAGGAGGGCAGGGAATGTTTCCCCAAGTTTTGGAGGTTTAAATTGCCTGAGGATCTGCTCTTCACTTGCATCTGCTCTGTATTTCAGATTTTGAGTAAAAAGATTTTTGGGAAAAAACATTGGATTAGATGGTCTCCAAGGCCCCACTCAGCTCTAATGGTTAAACTAACAGATCTACGGCAATTCTATTTCTCTGTCTTCTCTCTATTTCTTGGGAAATTGGCATTTTTTTGTAAACTGAGTGTCCTGGAATAGAGACACACCTGCACACCATAATGAGTATATTCAGGGTCTTATTGCTAAGATCGTCTTTACCAACAATACATGCAAAAATACCACCTGGTTTTCTGAGTCAACACATCTGAAGGCCGACGAGTGAGACTAAGCATCAATAGAATCCTTTGCCACCCACAGACAGAATATTAATCTTAATATTTGCCATTATCCTTGTAAAAGGTTATGGGTTTTTCTACAACCACCCAAACAGGTGAGGGCTGAACCTGGAGCCTGAAGCTGCAGAGCTAACTTTACTCATAGCATTCCAAACTTATTTCTAAATGTACCTGCTGCATCTGTGTCATGGTTTATTAGAGTTATCATTTGTCAGGCTGGATCACAGACCGCTCAACCCCATCCCATGCAGGTCACAAGCTAGGTAGTTGGGAAAAGATTCTGGGACCCATTGGCAAGGTAGACATGCTTTATTCAGACACGAGGTCTGCTGGCCAGCAGATCAGAGCCATTGTCTTTTATACTGAAGTAGACAATAGTGGCAACTAACTAAGGAGCACATGAGCACACATGTGCACTTACACTGCTCTTACGTAACACACTTGCAGCGGACATGCTGAGTCATGTCCTGCTGGATATGAAGTGAGGGGGTCTGACCATTCTGTCTCCATTTTCCTCACATCATTATTATAGTTAATCACGATTTTCATTGCTGTTATTGTGATTGGCCTGGTTCCCTCTAGAAGTGGAGAGAATTACAGAGATTACACAGCTCGCTTGGAGGTCTGGTGGAAAAGCAGAATTAATGAGTGCCCTGAAGTGACCAAGGAGGAAATAGAGAATGAAATGCAAATGACAAGAAAAGTCCTCATGTTTGTTTCTGGTTTCTTCTCCAATTGGGTGCTTGGATGCTCGGGTGCTGGTGGCATTACAGAAAGAGCAGGGAACAAGTATTCAGGTCTCTCTGAGATGTTGAGAAATTCTCCTTTCATCTCTGAGCCTCAGTTTCCTGACCTTTAAAAGAAGGAAGGTGAGCTGGCTGCTCGGGAGAGCATGGTGCTGATTAACACCAAGGTCAAGGGTTCGGATCCCCTTACTGACTGGCTGCCAAAAAAAAAAACAAAAACTAACTAAAGTGAGGAAGGAGGTGAGACTACATCATCTCCCAAGGTCCTTGCACCTACAGCAGCTGGGTGTCCAGCATGGGGTAGGACAGGGATAAGGGAAACACTTCATTGAAAGGCAGGCAGAAAGTAGCCCAGAAATCAAACCCTCAGCCCCTGGCTCATCTCTGGGTGGTGTTCCCAAGCTCTGGTTTCCCTGCCATCCCCCACTGGAGGTTAGAGAGAACTTCCTCCCCCCTCATATGTGCCCAGCGCCCACATGGGTTTCCTCCCCAGCACTCGCTCCAGACCTACCAACTCTCTGCTGCCGTCTCCTGCAAGATGGCGGCAAGCTCAGTGTGCCAGAGCCATGCCTGTCCTGCTCACCCCTGGGCCCTGTCTGCAGAGGGCACCTGCACATTCCAGAACAAAGCAGAAATCAGATGCCTCCAATCACAGCTCGTGTGTGGGCTGTGAGGTAGTTGTATTAGTGTCCTATGGCTGCTGTAACAAAGTACCACATACTAGGTGGCTTCAACAACAGCACTGTATTCTGTCATTGTGCTGGAGGCCAGAAGTCCAAGATCAAGGTGTCCACAGGGCTGGCTTCTTCGGAGGGCGATGAGGGAAGGATCCATTCCTGGCTCTCTCTTTGGCTTATGGATGGCTGGGGTTTTTTTCCTACATCTCTTCACATTGTCTTCCCTCTAAGTGTGTATCCCTCTGTGCCTTAATTTCCTCTTTTTGTGAATGTAAGGTTTCCCCTTTTCATGAAGATACCATATGAGAATAGGCTCACTTTAATGACCTCATGTTAATTTGATTATGTCTGGGAAGGCTCTATCTTCAAATAAGATCACAGTCTGAGGTCCTGGGAGTTGGGACTTCCACATGTGAATGTTGGGGGGACATAATTCCTCCCACAACAGCAGTGGTCGAGCCTTGGTGGGTCACACTGCCTGGCCTTCAACCTCAGTGTCCAGCTCTCGGATGTGGTGCCCTGTTTTGTCTTCTGTCAAAGGGTCATGTTAGTCGTCGCTAACTCAGGTTCTGTGAGTTTTGCACCACATAACAAATGTACACAGTTAATGTTGGCTCCAGTTATTTCTAATGATGGTAGTTGTGGTTACTGCGGAAGCACAAAGCGTCCTCACGTGCAACAGCAGGCAGTACCTGCAGGTGGAAACTTTAAAGTGCTTGTCACTAGATGCATACCCCACTTCCCGTTAAATGGGGGGGGGGGGGGTTTAAAAAAATATTTAAAGAATGCCAGGGTATCAAGTTAATTAGACTTTCTAGAGAGCCCACAGGTTTTGGTTTGCTCTGCATATTATTGGGCAAAATGGAGAGTGTCCCAGTCAATTAAATGATAAGAGTGGGACAGCCAGCAAAAGGCCCCCTGCTGGGTGGACACTTCAGATGATGGCACAGACTCACCCCTGTGGGCAGACGCTTTCCCCAGGGGACCCCTATTTGGTGCAGAGAAAGGTGCTCCTTCCTTCCAGGGAACTGTAGCTTACCCAGGGCTCAGGACCCTCCTTCACCCTCAGACTGTCACCTTCTGTCTGCAGCAGCCCAGTGGGAATTGAAGCTCCATGAGATTGGAGCTGGTGCCTTATATGCCGTGAGATCCTGGTATGGCATCTGACCCATGGTCAGTGTTCAACCAATATTTGTGGATGGACTGATTCATCACCCTCATCATTGAGCTCTGGAACCCTGCCACAGTGGCAGACACTGCCTGGGGCCCCAAGAACACAGAGATGAGCCTGATATAATCCCCACCTTCGAGGAGCCCCCAGCTTCGTGGAGGACATAGACAGCAATAATTTTACTGCCTTGTATCAATGCAGGAGTTCTGTACAAGCTAGGTAGTTGGGAAAAGATTCTGGGACCCATTGGCAAGTTCACAGGGTTTACTATGAATTCGTTGCTCAGAACTTCACCAGGATCAGTTGAGATGTTGTACCACGTGTGTTTGGGAATGACTGCTTTTACAGTCCCGAGTCATTTGTCTGTGATACAACCCATGAGAACATCTTGGACCACAGAGCCAGGTGGAGGACGAAGAAGCTCCTGAAAAGCTGTTCTTTCGGGGGGTAGGGGTTGAATGACACTCCAGTGCTCTCCAAGCCTGTCCCCAGGGTCAGTCAGAAAAGGCTTCCCAAGCTTCAAGAGATTCTTAGAAGCAAAAAACCACCTGTGGCAATGTTGGGAAGACACAGTCAGGAGGCCCCATGCTCTACCCAGTTGGGAAGACACAGTCAGGAGGCCCTGTGGCAATGTTGGGAAGACACAGTCAGGAGGCCCCATGCTCTACCCAGCTTGGAAATTGGGGGAGCACAGAGTGCACACATCTTTATTGCTGGGGAGGATGGACAATGGGTGGAGGAAGTCCAGTGTCCTCACAGCTCTCAGTCCCACCAGACCCAGACACTGGCCATTTCAGTCCTGCCCATTCCACAGACCAGTTCAGCCAGGACAGGGAAAGGGTGCAGCCGAGGCCCCCCAGCTGAGACCCCACAGGTGGGGTCTGTGACTGGAGGTATTGCTGGGTGTCCCGGGAACAGTGAGAGTCAGCTCCCCAGCCTATAATCAGAGCAAGGACTCTGAGGTTTGGCTGCTGGGAGTGAATCTTGCCTCTGCCACTTACAGGCTGTGTGATCTTAGAGAGTCATGAAACTTCCTGTGGCTATAGCAGCAGCACCCCCTGGGTTCCCACTCTGTCCCACAGGCCTGGTTACTGCTGGTGCATGGGTCCCGGCCACCTGCTCTGCCGTGAGAGAGGAACACGCACTGTTTACTGAAGGGGAAGGATAAACCATCCTTTGTAATTTGCATAATCTTAAATTGTGTGGGTGGCTTCCCGGTAGCTCTCTTGCTGATTCCAGCTGTTGTCCTTTGGTTGCAGAGACCGTATGAAATCCACTCGGCCACGCCCATTGACGAGATCCTCAGCATGTTCAAGATGGAGCGTGTCCACTACTCCTCCATGTGGTGCAAGGGGATAGTCGCCCTGCTGAAGAAGGTACGAGGCAGGGCAGCCACCGGCCTGCTGGGCCAGGGAACTACAGGCATTTAGGCTAATGACTAACCAGCCCTACAGCAAGTGAAGGAGCGAGAGAACAGAACAGCATAACAGTGGTGGAAATAACAAGTCAGCTGGGCTCTAATGCTGAGTAATGAGCTCTATCGTGGGGATGCACTTGTGGTCAAAGAACCATGGCGTCTTTGACAGCAAGCCCCCAGGCTCTTTCCACTCCACTACAGGCTCCTGATAAATAGAAATAGATAATGCATATGGATTTTTTTTAAATCTTTGCTACAAATGGTCTTTAACCTACTGAGCTCTAAGAGACTGGACATCTGACTTTTTGCAGGAACTGTTGCTATTGGAATAAAGCAGTGATTCTCAAAGTGCGGTCCCTGGATCAGAAGCACATTAGAAATGCATATTTTCTGGCTCCACCCCACACCTCCTGAGGCAGATGCCCTGAGGTGGGGCCGGACTGTCTTGATGAGCTCTTGGGAGGTTCTGATGCACACCCCGGTCAGGCACAGGCAGGAGGTCTTGGTGCCCTCTTGTTGAGACTGCCTTTGAATCCTCCAAGATGCACAGAGCTGAGTCTTGCATATGGTTGGCACCCAGTTATTTTTAAAAGATAACGACAGCAGCCAGCATTGGTGGAGAGTGTATTGTTTGGGGCCACGTGGTGGCTCTTCTCCCTTAATCCTCACAAGCCCTGTGGTCAGGGTAGTGTTATCATGATGATACCAGAGATGGGAAAGCTAAGCCTTAGGAAAGCAGAATCGTTCAATCAATGCCACAGGGCTGGTAAAGGGCAGAGGCAGGATTTGAACCCAAGCCCTCCTCCCACCAGATCCCAGCTCTCAGTCTTTCCACCACTATAAATGACTTGTTGAATTACTAACTAGTAAAATTACTTTAGAGTTCCTCACCTGGTTCTCATAAATCAGTGGTTCTTAACCCTGAATGCTCATTAGAATCATCTGGAAGCCTACATACTGCCAGTGCCTGCACCTCCCAGCCCACCTGATGAATCAGAATCTCTGGCCACCATGGGGGTCTGGGCATCAACATGTTTTCAGAACAGCTGCCCTGAATAGGGAACTTGCATATGGCATTGGGATGGAGTCTTATTAGATCTGAACCCATTGTTCTGGGGCAGCCTCCAGCCTCTAAAGGGAGGCCACATGACCCACAGATGCCATCCCTGCTGGGTGTCCCTCATGGGGCGTAACTCCAGCCCACTCCCTGGGAAAAGCTGGGAGACGTCTGCAGTGGCAGGTGGAAGCGAACTGGTGGGGGTGGGGCGGTCACTCCCACCTGTGGGCTGCTGGGTGTCACACCCTTCCCTAGCATGTGCCAGACCCTCACTGGTCCCATTTGGGTCTCATCCAATGAGCGGGAAGTGGAAGGGCTGCCATCATTGTTCCTGCTTTCGGACAAGGCAGGGAGCACAGAGCAGTCAGCAGCTCACCCGAGGTCACACGGCTGTTCAGTGGCAGTCCAGGACCAGGGCCTCTGTCCTTTCACTTTTAGCCCAAGTGCTCTTTGCATTAAATAAGCTAGAGTGTCATGGAAAGCTGGAAGCCCTGTTTGGATGCAAGGTAATATTCTTTGGTTGTTTTTAAACTGCTTCACCTCTTATTAGCAGAAACTCAATTTGAAAAGACGCTAAAAACTGTCCCCTTGGCTACAAATGAGGCCATCCATTAGTCCGCAGGGGTCACCTCATAGCCGTCCAGGGATAAATTTTATTATACTTTTGAGCCTCCCATTACCATGTTGGAAGTCCTAAGATGAGGCAGCTAATTCTCCTTATTTTTAATTGGAAGCCTTTGCAGACATCAGTGAGAGGCAGCCTGTTACGGGGCTCTAGCCCCAGAAGGGAACGCAAAGGCTGAAAATCTAGTCCCTGCCCCAACAGAGCCCTGCCGGACGACCTTGCAGGAGCAGCCTCGCCTCCCTGTCCTTCCCTGGCTATAAAGACATGAGCACAGATGGTGCTTCCAACAACAGGGACCCAGACAGGGCATGACATTAATGAGCAGGAGGAGCAGAGGCTTCCCTATCCTGAGACTTCCTCCTTCGGAGTCCCTGCTAGCCTCAGTGGGTGCACAGTTCCTGGAAGCTTTCTTGCCCTCTGACTGCAGCTCCTGACCAAGGACCCTGAGAGCCGCCTGTCCAGCCTCAGTGACATTCAGAGTGTGCCCTACCTGGCTGACATGAACTGGGACGCAGTGTTTGAGAAGGCGCTGAGGCCCGGCTTTGTGCCCAATGTGAGTGTCGTTCCCATGCGTTGTCACGCCACACCTCTACAGGGTCCCCGCCCTGGTGCAAAGCATGACCCCAGCAGCTGGCCTGTGAGTCCTCTGCTGGCTGCCGCCACTTGAGGACCAAAGGGTTCATGGTTCACTGAGATTCAGGGTGGGTTTGGACCTGATTTCTAAGGTTCCAGCTGCAGAGCTTCTCTTCCTGTAGTGGGTCCTTTGGACACTGAGCCTCCTGTCTTGCACTGAGTGACACCTCCTGTGTGCAAGCACTTCCTTAGTCTCCTTCCCATGTATGTTTGTTATAGGAGGCTGAGTTCAGCTTTCCAGTGTGATTATTCAATCATTTTACCATATACACATTCTCATGTCATTGCTATCTTTTTTATAAATACCATTTTTAATAAGTTAATTTAAACAAATTCATGGACGTTAACAGAGGTAGGGTCGCCCCTGGGGATGGGATTATACACATAAATGAATGATGTATGTGTGAGAACGTGTTGCTTTTTATCATTGGAGGAAAAAAATGTGATCAATGTATCCCGCAGCAGTAGTTAACCATTATTTGTTGAATGAATGGTTGATTGGGTGAATGAATGAAAGAAAAGAAATAGTGATAGGTGGAACACACACAAACCATGTTCTCTTTTCCTTTAGAAAGGGAGACTGAATTGTGATCCCACATTTGAACTTGAAGAAATGATTCTAGAATCCAAGCCACTTCACAAAAAGAAGAAGAGGTTGGCAAAGAACAGGTCCAAAGATGGCACAAAGGACAGCTGTCCCCTGGTGAGCACTTTCTCAGGAGCAGTCTCAAGGAGGAGGAGATAATTGAGCAAGTCTACTTTTTAGCCAAAAAGGGGCATTTCACTTCTCCCTTCCAATTACCTTTTTTTGCAGTAAATAAAATGCCATCATCAATGTACAAAACGGTGAAAGACTTGCTGTAGATGGAGGCGTTCACACTCTGACCAATCATGTTAGCACTTGTCCTGGTGCAGGAGCCTCAACTAGCTCTGGGCAAGGGGGCCGACATGGTGCTGAGTAGCATCACACCGTAGGAGTGGTCCTGGCACCCCTGTAGGAAGATCTGACACTGTGGAGGCCCCAGGGCTGCCTTAGGACTCCCCTGGGCCCTGGGCTCTTTAGCCTTTATGGCCTCTGCATTAGCTATGTCAACCCAAATAACAGAGAGATTCTTCAACGGTAATGAGTTTATCTGGGAGCGCACAGGGATTTGCAAATTTGGGAAACACGGGCTATGGGGACCATAGGCATCTCCAGAGAGGTTGCAGCAAGGGCGAGCTTTAAAGGCAAAAGAGAAAAGTACACATAATTTGTTTTGAAACAGAGAGAATATTAGTCACAGGGGCTTATGGCAGGAGTTGATGCCGGTTCGTTAGTGGAGACAGTGCATCAGGTTAGTGTGTATCGAGTTAGCTGTCCTCGTGACCCACCCAGCAAGCTGCAGTTTGAAACGTCCTTGGCAGAAGTTCTCGTTATAGGGAGTCCTCGTGATGGTTCTTGTCGTAGGCACGTGTGTGTGAGGCCCTCCCCTCTTCACCTCGTGGCTTCATGCATTTATTTTGATACAAGTGACTCCATTTGATTCTGACAACTTTCACAGTCCCCAGCTGCCATAACAATGACCACAACCCGTGTGGCTTCAAACAACCCAAATTTATTCTTGCACAATTCTGGAGGCCAGAAGCCGGAAATCAAGGTATCGACAGTCATGGTCTCTCCAAAGTCCGTAGGAAATGGGGCCACCTCGGCTCTCCCAGCTTCCTTGTCACCCGCTGTCCTTGGCGATCCTTGGCTTGCACACTCATCACTCCGGTCTCTGCCTCCATCTTCACGTGGCCTTCTGGCTGTGTCTCTGTGTGTCTTCACATGGCTTTCCTATGAGGACCCCATTCACTGGATTTAGGGCCCACCCTACTTCACTGTGGCCTCATCTTAATGTGTGAGATCTGCAAAGACCCCATTTCCCAATAAGTCACATTCACAAATACCAGGGCTTAGGACTGGAACATATTTTGGCGGAGGGACACAACTCAACTTACAGTAGCCCCTTCCTCTATAAAAATATATTTACAATAATATTTTATGACTACATTGGTTTGACGGTGACCTTTAATGCTAAAAGCTCATTTTTTATTATTTTAAAAGAAATTAAAACATCTTTGTAGCCTGTAAAAGGCTCGTGGGCCCGAGACCCCACACCAGCTGCACCTGCTACAGAAGTGGGCAGGGGCCCCTGACTGTGCATTCCTGAGGGAAGTGGGCAGGGCCCCCCAACTGTGCATTCCTGAGGGAAGTGGACAGGGACCCCCCCAATTGTGCATTCCTGAGGGAAATGGGCAGGGCCCCCAACTGTGCATTCCTGAGGGAAGTGGGCAGGGACCCCCCAACTGTGCATTCCTGAGGGAAGTGGGCAGGGACCCCCCAACTGTGCATTCCTGAGGGAAGTGGGCAGGGCCCCCAACTGTGCATTCCTGAGGGAAGTGGGCAGGGGCCCCCCAACTGTGCATTCCTGAGGGAAGTGGACAGGGACCCCCCAACTGTGCATTCCTGAGGGAAGTGGGCAGGGACCCCCCAACAGTGCATTCCTGAGGGAGCACAGAGGGGAGCATGTTTCCCACACAGACGTGTGGTTCCCGTGTGGCATTTGGGCAGCCGCTAAGACGTGTGTCACAGGGCATCTGTGGTGCCTGTTCCTGAAGAGAATGAGCCCCTTGCATGGCAGTGGGGAATGTCTTCTGCTGCGTGTCTCTTAAGTAGACCCAATGACCATTCCAATGAGCGGGAGACAGAGCTCACAATTATCAGTCCACATTCCATTCTAACACGGCTTTCAAGTTGGTTTAATGACTTAAAATTGAGAAAAACATCTTTGTCTGCCAGGCTCCGCTTGGACACAGCCACCCATACAACCTGGGCCTGCCCCAGCCTCTTAGCTAGCGCCCACACCCTGGGTATCGTGGTTCCCATTTAGATCAACCTACCGCCCTCCACTGCTCCTTTTCCACATCTCCCTGGATGATGCTCTGCCATTTGGTCACCTCTTTGTGCTCTTTGACAGAATGGACACCTGCAGCAGTGTTTGGAGACGGTGCGGAAGGAGTTCATCATCTTCAACAGAGAGAAGTAAGTCCTCCATGCAGAGCCTGCCCAAAACGACTGAGGTCTCCCTGGAAGAATCAGTTTCCCTGATGAAGCCAGCCCTGACACTGGAAGGGCAGGTGTCAGTGGGTGAGATGCAGGTCCCTGGAGGGGTGAAGTGCCCAGACATGGAATTAGACAGGCCCGACCCTGCCTGTGCTGTGTGGCCTGAGCAGGGTGCTGGCTCCACTGCTCCGGGCCTTAGGGTGGCCCAGGGACATGGGGATAGTTGTGGCAGCCTCGGGCTGGCTCCCAGGATGCTGGCATGGAGAGGCAGGCACCAAGAGGCCAAGAGCAGGGGCCCTTTGAGGAGTGCAGTCATGGTTTGAAGTGAGGCTGGCATACAGTTTGCAGGAGCTGGCACAGTAAAGTGGGTAGAAGTCATGTTATCCAGACGGGAGTAGAGGCGACAGCATCTGCAACAACAGTAGGCACAGAGGAACTTGGCCATGGCAGGGCTGTCAGCTTGGGCTCTGACATGGGGCTCCTGCTACTTTGTCCCTGCCTCTCTGCTCCCTCAGTGGCCCTGACAGGCTGCCCATCACAACAGGTGTGCCTCCCCTCACCCGCCATATAAGGGTCTCCAGGTGGAAGGGCTTGGCCATGTACCCCAAGATGCCACCTGAGCACTAGGTAACGCCCCCATGTCAGACCCATCCCTTTTCCTCCACGTGGGAGGAAGCGACGTTCCATCCACCCACAGCCCCCGACCCCCCAGAGGTTCTCAGCTGTGAAAACGCCCATGAGTAGTCGATTCACAATGCATGGTCTGCCCCAAACCAAGAGTTTTCCCTTCAGACCAAGAAAGAAATGGGACCTGTTTATCCTGCACTTCTTTCTGCAATTCCATGTGTGAGGCACCTGCTGTGTGGGCACTTGAGTAACTGGAAAATTAAGGCGACTACCTTCCTCCCTACATCAACGGTGAGGTGCGTGGGAGGACTGGTGGGGAAGTCGAGGCTGAGCCAGGCTTGTGGTCCTGCCTGCTGGGACCAAGCCCTGGCATCCCCTGCGGCTCCGTCTCCTTTCACTCCCCCCCACACCTGGCTGTGAGCTGCGACAGACCACTCCTGCTCGATGTTGGGGGAGGGGGCTGCAGGCCTCTTCTGCATAGTGGGGGCCACAAAGATGAATCAGACTGGGGCCATGGTCCCAGGAGTCCATGTCAGAATAGCCTGGGGGCCTGCTGGCAGGTAGAGTTTCTGCACCTGTTATGGGTTGCACTTGTGTACCCCAAAAAGATATGTTGAAGTCCTAGCCCCCGGACCTGTTAATGTAACCTTATTTCAAAATAGGGCCTTTGCATATCTAACGAGTTATGATGAGGTCACACTGGAGTAGGGTGAGCTATAATCCAAATTGTCTGGTGCCCTTATAAGAGAAGAGACAAAGGCACAGGGAGAAGGCCATGTGAGGAGGGAGACAGATGCACCCACAAGCCTAGGAATGCCAGGGATTGCTGGCTGTCACTGGGACAGATTCTCTCTCAGAGCCCTAAGGAGGAGCCAACCCTACCAACACCATGATTTCTGACTTCTAGCTTCCAGAACTATCAGAGGATAGATTCCTCTTATTTTAAGCCACCCAGTTGGTGGTACTTTGTAATGGCTGCCCTAGGACACTAACACAGCACCCTAACCCATAGCTTCTGGGAAGAAGCTGAGAGACTGGGCCTGGGGATCTGCATTTTAACATGTTGTTCGAGTCATTCTGACACCTAATAGTTTGAGAACTTCCGCAGGAGACCAGTGTGCCCAATCAGTGAATCCTCTAGTCAGTTCTGAGTTGAGTCACAAGAATCCTCCATTGAAGACTGCAAACGCTCCCAGCTCTGTCTCTCCTACCCTGGGTATTCATCTGCACCCCTCAGCCCTCACTGGCCAAAGGATGCTCCCGGGGGTCTGAACTCCCTGCACAGGTGACTGCCTCTTGCGTGAAGCAAGGTATGCTTTCTCGGCTAGAAAAGTCTCTTGGGCAGAGAGAAAGTCCCTGCAACTCCCATTGTGATGAAGAAGCCATCACGAGCAGTGAGTGGGAGCCGAGGGATCATGGGTAGGATGTCAACCACATCTGCCCCCATAGGAGATTTTCATTCAGTCATTGGACAGATCTCTCATAATCCTGGACTGGTTCCTGGGAACACAGAAATGAGTCTAGCAGGACCATGTCCTGAGGATGCCCACAGCCTGTAGGGGGTCAATTGCCTCACCGTGCAAGGAGTGTTGGGTGGAGACATGCACCGGACACTGTGGGGACAGAGGAGACACCCTGGCTCTAACCTCTCTGGACCTCAGTTTCTAAACAGAGAATAAAATTAAAATGGTCACTGCCTACTTTTCTGGAAATGCAGCTGATTATTGGCTAATGGTCTCAGCTGGAGAAAGGCCGTGGAGCCAGGGGGTGTACCTGCTTTCAGGGGCTGATCAGGCTCTGAAGGCCTTGCACCTGAAGCTTCCATTAGTTTGAGAAATGCACCATGGGGCTCATTCTATTTTTGGCCAAAGATCCAAGCAGAGATGACTTTTCCAAGAGGTCTTTTTAATAGCATTTGGCAGGATTTTGCAGAATAAGGAGTCCCTAGTGAGAAAGGAATTTAAGGAGCTGAATTTTCTATCCTTGTCATCTCTTAAATAGACAAAAACAGATTTGAAATCATAGTAAAGCTACCTTTTTAGTCCTTGAAAATATTACATCTTAAAAATCTAACATCGTGGGCCGGCCCGGTGGCGCACTGCTACAGTGCGCCGCTTGGGAGCGCGGTGGCGCTCCCGCCGAGGGTTCGGATCCCACATACAGACGGGTTCCCACTCACTGTCTGAGCGAGGGGCGGGTGCAGCACCGAGGGTTGCGATCCCGTTGCCGGTCCCGGTCCAGTACGGGCGCGACACTGAGGGTTGCGATCCGTTGCCGGACACGGAAAAAGACAAAAAGGAAAAAAAAAATCTAACATCGTATTTGTTACGCTTAATACTATTTATGCTAATAACAGCCAACATTTGTGTATGATTTTATGGTTTTAGATCATGTTCCTTTAATCTAGGGTTTCTCAGTTTCGGCACTGTTGATGTTTGATGACTACTGACATCGATTCTCTGGTGTGGCGGCTGTCACATTGCAGGATCTCTGGCCTCGACCCACGAGATACCAGGAGCACCTCTGTAATGTGACAACCAAAAATGCCTCCAGACATTGCCCAGTGTTCCCTGCAGGCAAGATCGCCCCCAGTTGAGGACCACTGCATTCCTCCTCGCCTATCACAGTCTCCTAAGCCTCGGGCTTTAGTGCTCCTACGGTCGGTCTGGCAGCCCTTAACTGGAATAGGAGGGACGTGAAAGTA